TTGGGCAGCAGGTTTGCAGCGCAGGTATGTTCTGTATGCCCTGTAGCCGACGCCGGTGTTTGAGGCCGAGTAAGCTCCAAACAGAACATCCCGTGTGTGGCAGGTGACGGAGTTTGTGGGAGGGAGCGGGGGAATAGCGCTAGGGGTGGCCTTGAACCACGCCGCCATGGTTGTTGCGGCAGGTGGCGCCGGACTTGCCCAGGGTGAGGTCACGCCTAAACCAAACATATTTGTCTATACATATACATATACTAGTTTTCTGACATTGTTCCTGCGCTTCACATGCCCGAAAATGGCAACAGCTTTGGTCAACGGCTAGCAACTTTATAAGGGCATCCGCAATGGGTGACCCATGCTCTAAGCATTTTTTTTATATTTTAATAAAAAAGAGAGAGAAAACTTGTTTTTATCAAGAGCTATGCTCATACACATATTTCAAAAACATATAAGAGTGTCATGTGGACTTAATTATACTATGAGTTATTACTAAAAGCTAGCACCATAGAAAATATTGACTTAGAGCTAGTAACTGACTTTTACGGTTGTGGGTGCCTTTCCTGTAGGGTTGTAAAATATCGATGCTTTGAAATAGGAGAGAAGTTGGAAGCATCGAGTTGTATATTGCAGCTATCTCGATGGGGGCTTCCTCGATGCTGAGTTCGGTCACATGCATGCACATGAGAGAGGAAAGCTGCGCTGTTTTTTCAGTGGGCTCTCCGTGATGCCTGCTCATTGCAGCTTGTCTCGAGTTCTTTACCGATGCTGAGTTCCTGTATTTGGTTTTGGACATATAACTGTGGCTAGTTTTAGGTACTATAGGGAGTACAGAGTTCAAGGCAAAGAACAGAAGAACTAAAAGTACTCATGTTTCATCACATCTCTATCACACCAGCTTAAATAAATATATAACAGCTACACATACTCTATTACCACTATAGTACACTCCAAGACTATTATTTTTATCATAGAGCCGGTAGTTAACATAGGGTCTATTCGGTATAGCTCAGCTTCATTAATAAAGTTGTTTTTGGCTTTGGCTCTAGAAGTACTTTTATTGGTGGAGTTGAATCTGCTTTAGTGAATCGTTTAGCAAAACAGTTTCTTCTGATAGACAAAAGATATGACCAACCCCCCCCTCTTTTTCCACTTTCATAATTCTTTCACGGTTTCACTTTCTTCCTTATCCATTTAGCCAGCCTCCCCTCTCGCCCGAGGCCCGAGCTCGTCTCCCTGGCCCCCGCTCAATCTCTAAACTCTGACCTTGGTGGATCTCCGTGCCCAAGTGCCGGCCGAGCTCGCGCCTATCACCGCAAAAAGGGTTGCACTCCGCACGCCCTTCATGACCTGGCGAGGCTACTTTCGCCTGACGCGGCTCCCCCATCCCCCTCTCCCACCCCGCCCGGCGCCGCTGACTCTGCGCACGCGCGCCCCTGGCTATCGTCGCCCCTCCATGAGCCGACCGCCGTCGCAAATCTGCCCAAGGCCACTGGGGGTGGGGGGGGGCACTAGTGTGTCATGAAGTTGGACAAAGCTGGTTTTCTCATCTTTATCCCATACCCCACGCTTGTGAGACCGGATTTTGTAGGGCTTCATCGGTGAAGCTCTTTCAAAAGTGCCCATTTGGAGCTAGCCGGAAAACAGCTTCAGAAGCTGCCCATGAATCCCTACCAAACAGGGGCTTTGGCGCGTTTCATTGCCACCATTGACTTACCGAGGCATCATGTCCAGATTGACTTACCAAACGGGGCCATAATCTAGTTAGTTCTCATCTCCTCGCAACTCCGCCAAAGTCAGGGGTGTGATACTGATTCGCAATAACCATGTTCAATGATCGTCTCTTCTAGGACGGTGTCATTTTTCCTTGCAGATGTGTGTTGTGACTTTGAGGTTTATAGACTGATCCATTACAAGGAGTCAAAGCAGCTCGGCTATGGTGACTTGCAGCGGGCTACATCATTTTGGGTTAATTGTTTTAGCCATGCCGGCGATGCTAGGGTTTTTGCTGGTTTTCTTTTTAATTAACTATATACAAGTATAAAGTTTTTAGATCTGTTTTTCTTATAAATAAACTACTAGATTATTTTACCTGAAGAAAAAAAGTTTCTTATCTCCTGTTTGCTAGGAAAAGAATTCTATACAAACGTGATGTACGCATATGTGCAGCACGGACTGGATGCCGTCCATATGTGCAGCTTTCAAGGAACGATCGTAGCTACAAAACATATGTGCAGCAGTTTTTCCTTGCATTAATATTGTCCTTTTCGTTTTTATTAGCAAGTGAAGTGAATATTCAGGACGTACGCATTTGATAACCTGCAGATTGTGCCGAAGCAACAAGGTCCGACGCCCAAACTCATCCGGCGAACATACACGTTCTCCGCACACTCGCTGCGGCGTCTGAAGCCACGAGCTATATATTGAGTGAGATCTGTGGCAAATAATCGAGGGGAGTAGTGATGCACGGCCGGCGAAGGCTCTACGCCGGGCACAGCCGTGCCGTGCTCACTGGCGGAGCCAAGGGGGGGCTGGCAGGGGCCATGCCCCCCCCCCCCCCCAATGTTTCACAACAACAAAAAATAGTAGTATGACTTAATATTTTTTATTTATATTAAAAGGAAGATTATATAAAATTTTTGTCATATATACCTATTAATATATTCTAGATAATACAATTATATAAAACACAACTAGATAATAAAATTATCGCAATGAAAAAGACCGAGCCGGCCCCCCCTAAGTATAATTCCTGACGGCCGGCTCCCCCTGAGTATAAATCCTGGCTCCGCCACTGGCCGTGCACCAGGGCAGTAGTGTGGCCGAGATCGACGGGGACATATATAACACCTACGGATACAAAGGTGAGCTCGTTCCTACATTTACATAATGATAAAACTAAGAATTAGTTGCCTACGTAATATTGGTATTTCAAATGTGTTTAGGAATAATGATGACAATGATTGAGAATGGATATGCCATGAACAAGACCAATCTCAAAGTGCAAGTCCATTGGCTATGTCACCCTTCTATGCGTCCCCTCTGCCTCTAAACCGGCAGTAGTGAGGTTTGCCGTACTAGTGTGAAATATATCACCGTTAGTTCTCACATAACCAGCGATGAAAATCCCGACGGTGATCAAAATTTTTGTGGTAGTGACAACCTTCCACGTGGGCTATGTATGAAGCGCACGTATATCATGATGCCAATATTGATCAAGGGACAAAACAATCTGGCAATGACATCAACTTGTAATTAGGACTATTGGTCGATGATCTACTGAAAATGTTGACTGACGCTTTTGAGGTGTGGGACGAGCAAAAAAAAAAACACTTCAAGGTGAAAGGATTACTTCTCACTACGTCACTCAGTTTGTGATAAAAAGGACTAACTTATCCGTAGGGGAATGTACTTTTTTGGTTACGGAATTAGATAGGGGCAAAAACGGAAATTAGCTTGTATTATCGAAGAATTCCACACATATAAATACTGTACTATTTGTACAGTGTCGCACAGGTGACTGAGAAACACGATTTGGCTTTTTGTCGAATCGTTCATCATTATTTCACCATGATAGTTGAGTGAGGTCAAGCCAACAATGGCTCTGTTTGGATACTCTAACTAAGTAGCTAGAGGTTAGAGTTATTCTCTAGCTCATGAGTAGCCCTAAATTAACTCTACTCAAAGAGGTGTTTTGATGCCAGGGTTAGATTGACAATAAATGTACTTTCCCAATCATTTGGCTCCTTCCCAGCCGGATTTGGTGTGGCCGGCTATTGTGTGCCCTCCTCCCGCTCACAAATGACACAAACAAATCATCTTTACAAATCATGCATCCATAACACGATAAATTTTAATTTGTCCATACAAATGAGATGTCTCACTCAAACATGTCCTCAATCAAGCTAAAAAAATTACACTCTATTAAACAAAGTATCAGCTAACTCATCACGGAAGGCATTCATGTTGATATCTTCAACAAAAGGTTCATCCTCTGGCCATGCTGATGCAGAAGAACTAGGCATTGGGTTATAATTTTCATCCGCATCACAGGCATCAAATTCCCTATCCGCAATTCTGCTCTCTCGAATAAAATTATGAAGAGCCATACAGGCAACAATAATTTTAGTTTGCTTGTCCTCTTGGCATGTTCAACAAAATCCTAAATTTCATCTTCAACACTCCAAAAGATCGCTCTATGACATTCCTAACTTTGGCATGTGTATGGTTGAAGGTTTCTTTCATACCTTGTGGCGGCGGGCCGTTTTGCCATTGCTCCACATGGTACCTTGTACATCTGTATAGTGAAAGATAGCCCGGCTGGTTTGGGTACCCCGCATCAACCACATAATACTTCCCTACATATTTTGAAAGGCACACAATGAGACTTAGATGAACAAGTGTAATTGGATTAAAATTGTTGCAAGACAGTTCAAGTAGCATACCTAGTGGTGGATGTGGAAATTTGTGATGATGAGTAGTTATGGCATATTTGAAAACTCTCATGTCATGTGCTGAACCAGGCCATCCCGACAACACAAAGGTAAATCTCATGTCGAAATCACAAACAGCAAGCACATTCTGACTGGTTTCATTGTGCCTGTTCAAGTATGGAACCCTCTTACTCTTATCCACCACAACCTTCACATGTGTCCCATCTATAGCTCCTATGCAGTCGTTGAAGTGTGGCCAGAATGCAGGATTTTCTAAGTTTGGGTGCACCTCTAAAAATGTTGGGTCCTTAGGTACAATTATGTCATGTGCTAACCTAAGGAGACATGTCAAAACTCTATTAAATGTTCTGCTTACTGTCTCCATAGACCTTCTAAAACGGTTTTCAGCCTGTCTAACTGACTGTGGTGAACCAACAACCCATAAAACATAGCAAGAGCCTCTACAGATGTCATTTTTGTACTGAACTTCAACCCATGTGAATGGACCAAAGTATTATGTAGCCTGTTAAATAAATGTCTCTCAACCCTAAACATATTGTAGCATTGGGTATCTCAAGCTAGTATCTCCTGCATCCAATCCAAACCAGAGTCTCCAGTGACCCTCCTAGGTAGTTTGACAAAGTAGTTATCAGAGTACATACCCAAGATAGGAACCAACTGCAAGATCAAATTCTGGGCCTCCACCAAATTATTGCAGCACATGGATATAATCTCATCCTCACTTGTGTTGCCTCCATCATCTTCTTCTTCCTCAATCATGGGGCCCTGATCTTCTTCCTGCTTCAACACATGTAACAAATTGTCAACACATAGCCTAAAACTTGAAGCAATGTAAGCAAATGAAATTAATTCAATAAATTAATACAGCCCATAGATAAATAGGTTCAACACATAGCATTAAGTCAACACATCACACAGATAATAGTTCAAGACCTCACACACAGATGATAGGTTTAACACACATAATAGTTCAACACCTCACACACAGATAATAGTTCAACACATAGATAAAAGATCAACATCTTAACACACACATTTCTTGAAGAACTACTCAACACCTCCTAAGCTCAAATTGTTGTCCCTGCACCATTTCTTGAAGTAACCCAACCTAAGCTGAGAAGTTAATTTACCACAGAAGAACTGCCTTTGTTACTCTGTTTCGAACATCTTAGACATAGCATAGACAGAGTCAACGGTTTCCTCAATGCCACACTCAAATGCCAGCTCCTGACACCTCTCGACAGAACATGCTGCCTTGTCACTTGCACGTTTCTGTATTTGAGTAGTGTTGACTTTGACAGAGTCTTTGAAGGTACTGGCTATGTCCTTCACAATCTTCACCATTGGGCTCTTGCTCTTCTTCACTGGACTGGTCAAAGTGCTTGAATTGCTGCTTAATGACCTCTTTCCCCTCTGACTCCTCTGGCTGCTTCTACTTGTAGGTGTTGTTTGAAACTCCTCCTCTTCCTCTTCTGCCCCTACATCTTGCTCCTGATTCTGACCATAATCATCTCCAGGCACAAAGGTTGTGCTTCCATCGACAGTGAACCCTCTGAATAGTTCATCAAGCAACTCCTCGTTTCCTGGAGGACCCCACTGCAGCGTCTTTAGGTATTGTTTTTTCTGCATCATAGGTTTACATCACAAGGTGATCAGAAACTAGTTAAGGTGAGCACACTACACAATTTGCTAGGGAACTCAGACTCATGCATAGCTTTACCTCTGTGTGTGTTGTCCAAAACTCAGACTCTGCATCAATTGTTCCATTTGGTTTCCTCCCCAACCCTGTGTGCGTTTGCAAGTAGCGCCAGAATGAGTGGGTGTTCTTGAGTACGCCTATTTGGTTCTTCACCTGTAGACGTGTATACAGCAACCCCCTTCGAGCAAGTAAGCCGTCGACAACGGCTTCGTACCCTTCACCACTCATTTGTGCACCATTATACGTTCCTGCTCTACGTTGTTCTATGCACAATTCTAACAAGCAAGAATTATTTGCATCATTCCATTGGGCTCGATTGGCATGGCTCACCGGGGGACCACCGGAGCTCGCTAACTCCTCCACATCATCCTCCAATTCTTCATCGATGTCGAAGGGAGCGCCGGAACCGGATGCTTGCCCACGGACGGCACTCCTCGATGCCCTCGGTGCTCGGGGACGCGGTACGCGCCGGCCGCTGCCGCCACGGATCGCCGTGTTCGTGCGCTGGCCGCCGCCGCCACGTAACGCCGTGTTGGTGCGCTGCCGGCCGGGTACTGCGCCGGACGATTTCACTCGCTGACGAACGCTGCCTGCCCCCGACGATGACCCGCCAGGGAATACGCCACCGTTTCCTCCTCCGCGACCGGCTGCCGCCGCCGCCGACCCGCCAAAGTGGAGTTGTCGGGCGTAGGGTGAGGTCGGAGTCGCCCACGCATCTCCTGCTCCGGCTCGCGGTGGGCGATAGGGAGGGAGGCCAGAGCCCCTGACGCAGCCAGGGAGGAGCTCGTCGATGTTGCCCTGGAGGACGGCTCCATAGAGTCCAAGCCCCGGGAACACCTCCGCCGCCGGCGCTTGCGAGTTGAGGTCGAGAGCTGCGAAGCCAGCGGGAGCGTGGCTAGGGCCGCTCGCCGACGGCTGCGAGCCCCACGTGTCGAAGCCATCTCCGTCCATCGATGGGAGGCGGCGGCGCGGCTAGGGAGACACGGCGGCGCGGCTAGGGAGGCGGCGACGCGCGTGTGGCGAGATTTGCGGCGGCGCGCGTGTGGGGAACGGGAGGGAGACCAAGTGCGGGTGGGGAACGGAAGCGAGATCCCGTGCGGGAGAAAAAACACTTTTCCAGTGGGCCCCACCTCAAATAGCCTCAATAAGCATCTCTTGTTGTGGATAGTTTTTTGGGTGGGTTAGATGCAAATAACCCCAATCTAACCCTCATGTTTGCTACTAGTTTGTTCTAGGGTGGGTTATTTGCATATTTCACATTGGAGAAAAATGTAATGCTTCACTAGCGACCAGGCCGTCTTGTGCTTCGCTGGGGACCACACGCCGCTCACGTGCTCCGCTGGTCGCGCGCTAGTCCTGTCCAATTAAGAGCGAGACTAAAGTCGATCACTGCAAGTCAATCAATTTTAATTATAATTATAATAAGGATCAGCCCTATATTACTCCGTTGAGTCTAGGGATATACAAATACAACAACTAGAACAATAAATGAATAACCCGAGGCAGGTTCATGTGAATCTGACTTTGGGCTATGCGTCTCTTGGCATCCAAAAGGAGAGAGAGAGAGAGAGAGAGAGCGCTCTGCTGATAGCGTTCCCAGCAACGAGAGATGGAGGCCCTGCGGTCTTTCTGAAGGAAGAAGAAGGCTCCTGTAGCAGGGAAGCACAACTCAACTCTGCTTTGAAGAGAAAATCACAGCCGTGGTACGTGACTCGAAACTACCTTTATCTGTCGCAGTGAAAATGCAGTCTGTGTGTGTTTTTTTTAGGATTTTTAAGGTAGAACTCAATGATACTACTTTCGTTATGAGCTTTCCTGTTTTTTCATTTTATTTAGAAAGCATCGCTTCCTGAGGTGTTACCAGCACACACCTACACGGAGCTCTCTTTATCTTTAACGAGTCATTTCACTCGGTACCAGTGTTTTTTCCCTCTTCTTATTTTGGACAATTGGGTTCTGGTTATGGCTGATTGGTACCGCAATCCAATTGAGCAGATCCCAAAATGTTGTTAGTTGTTGTAGGGAATCCTGGATCCTTCTAGGTCCAAAGATATGACCCAAGAGGAGAGGGGTGAATTGGATCACTAAAATTTTCAGATCTCTAACTTGAAACTACACGAAATAAACAAAGTTTATCTATAATCTCTACTTGCCTAAACTCACAGAGAGTTGCCCACCTAGAGCCAATCCTACTTGCCTAAACTACACGAAATAAACAAAGTTTATCTATAATCTCTACTTGTCTGATTATTTTGAAAATTTGTAGGATTTATTTGCTTTTCTAGCATATCTAATAAGAGTTAATATGGAGACTCTATCAAAACCTCTAATCAGTAACAATAAGATAAGATAGTCATATAAAAGATAAGAAAAACCGTTGCTTTATTTCCTTCGCCATATTATATTCCAGTGCCAAAATGAGTACTCACTCTGCCCTAAAATAAGTGTCGTTCTCGTTTCCGAGGAATGAAATGTTTTTAACTTTGACCAAAAGTATACAAAAAAATATTAATATTTATAGTACATAATTAGTATCATTAGATAAATTGTTGAATTTATTTTCATAATAAACTTATTTGGATATATAAGTATTGCTATTATTTCGTACAAACCTAATCAAATTTAACAAAGTTTAACACCACAAACAGCATAGCGACACTTATTTTGGGACGGAGAGAGCAACATATAGGTCATAGTTGACAACTGCTATTTTCACTTGAAACAAAAGGAAAAAGTCTATTTTGCCTCCCTCAACTATCGCAAAAGTCAAGTTTTTTCTCCCTGAACTAGAAAACATGACATAAGTCCCCCTCATCTTTTTAAACCGGACCTCCCTAACTGTTTCAATAGGTGGTTTTTCTCTTTTTCTTTTATATTTATTTTGGCTGAATCTTTGAAAAATCATAGTAAATTATAGAAAAATCATAAAATGAAAAATTGAATTTTGTTGGAGTCCACATAAGTAGATCTACACAGTAAACATATGATATGGTATGCTTTAGTACAAAATTTTTGCTCTAACTTTTGATCTATGCTTTTCTGTGATTAATTCATAGATGCTGTTGGGTACCTTAGAACGGGGTACCCCAAGCAAACATCAAAACAAAACTAGAAGGTAAGCCGTGGGCCCCTCACCTGCCACGACCGAGCCCTCCTCCACCTCGCCTTGAGCCTCGAGCAGGAGGTCTCGGAACGAACTCCGCCTCGCGCGAGGCTCCCCAGGGTAGGCCTCGGCAGGGGGCGCCGAGCCTCGGAAGGGGACGCCGTCTCCGTCTCGCCCGAGGCTATCCAGGGAAGGCCTCGGCAGAGGCCTCATTCTCCGTATCGCGCGAGGCCTCATTCTCCGTGTCGCTCGAGGGCGGCTCGTCCACGGTCCGTCGCCCCCCGTCTCGGCCGACCCTCCCAACAACTCGTCATGTCTCATTAATGCTTCAACCACTCCCACAATCTCAGCCGGACGGTGGCTCAACGCCACAGGATGGCCGACGCGACCCGAGGTCGCATCAGCGCCATACCGACCGGGACAGGCCACTGTGTCCTACCACTGTGTCCTACCACTGTATCCTACCACTGTGTCCACGACCAGCACCATACCGACTAGGAAAGGGTACGACGGGGATTACCGACCACTGTGTCCAAACGCTGTACCCATGATCGGCCGCCCGCTCAAGGCCTCGGCACTGTACACCGAGGCCTCGGCGATCTTGGGGTTCGTGCCTGCCGAGACCCCCCCATCGCAGTGCCAGCCTCGGCATCGACCAAGCCTCGGCATCGCGCACAGTCCGTCCACAGTGGCTTGCACGTTCGCCGCCGCATCCACTCCGAGGCATTCCCGGGGCTCCCACGACGCACAGGACCTGATGGGATGACCACGCCGCCCCAGTACTCCAAGGATGGACCACTCCGACGGCCACGCCGCCGCCACGAGAACGAGCTACAGGGGCGGACATGCCGCCTCTGTTCACACGACGCCGTATAATCAGCTCATGTACCGCCCAAGTCCTCCCTTCATGCTATAAAAGGAGAGGACCTGGGTTGTTTTAGGGGGGATGGGGGACACCTGGTAACACACACGCACACTCCTGCCGCCAGAGAGCAACGTCTCAAGCGGCCCGCACGGCACCCTGCCGAGACCTAGGACCAGCTCCTTCTCTCCTTTAGCTTGTAACCCCCTATTACGAGCACCTCGGTGCAAGGAATACAAGATCGATCTCTCAGACTGGAAGTAGGGCCTCGATTGCCTGAACCAGTATAAACCTTGTCTCTTTGCATCACCATCCGGATCGGGAGCACGTAGAACAAATTCACTAGTTGGTTGAGGACCCTGGTCGAAACACCGACAGTTGGCGCGCCAGGTAGGGGCGCTGCGTGTCGGTTTCGTCATCCCAGCATGTTCCGGATGGCAGACCACGTACGACCATTGCGTCTCGGCACCGTGGTTTGGTTCGGGAGCCTAGAGTTCATGTCTCTAGGGCATGAGTACGACTTGGTGCTCCTCCCTCCTCGAGCCCCACCAACCAACGATGAAGTTACGCCCGGCAACCCAGGCGCGGGCGGCGTCCGGCGGCCATTTCGCCCGACTCGCCAAGCACGCACACGAACAAGGCCACCCGGCGCTTCACGCGAATCTGGGGCAACACGCCACCCCGCCGATATCCTACGGCCATTTGTTGGCACTGGGGTCCTGGTGAGAGGACTGTCTAGCCTGAGCTTGGACAAAGAAACTTGCACGTGGCGCATGGCGATGCCGATCATCAAGCTCCGCTCCACCACTCCTGAAGAGCCGATTCGGCGGGGCGAGAATCTAGAGATGGCACCGTCCCCATACCCTTTTGGGTTGAAATGCCGCCGCCTCGTATGCCTCGCTTACTCTGTCGCTCACGAGCACCCCTCGAACGCGCCGCCCGGTAACCGCTCTCGACTGAGCACCCACTCCGACTTCTCGGACGAGGGCGAGGCATGGCCGGGGTGGATTTTTACGGACTCCACAACCACAGGGCTTTGCGCTAGTTCTTGGGCTGCGGCGACTCTCGCTTGCTTGGCTACTCCGACTCGGCGACGACGAAGGCACCCTCGACCCCACTCTCGCGAATGTTTTCATGTCGGGGTCGGGATGCCGAAAGCGCAGGCGAAAAAGGACGCGAGGGCAGGTAGCCGTTCCCGCTCGCCCGCCCGACGCGGGCGTCGCTACACCTCCACGCGCCGTCCTGCCGGCCGCACGAAATGAGAACGTCGCTCTTGCGCGACCTCAGCGCCCAGACCTAGAACAGCTCCATGAGCTCCAGGCCAAGGTCGAGCAAGACCAACTCCTTCTGCAGCGGCTTCGAGACTCTCTCGAGCGAGAGCAATGAGGTCGCGCGGCGAAGGCGGGGAGCCCGACGGAGGCCCTCGGCGTGCATCACCGCATCCATAACGCAGCGAAGGGAAGCGAGCAACCCCGATCTTCAATCGCGCTAGCGAGCGTCGCGGCTGCGGCGATCTTTGGTTCGCGCAATGCCCGAGCCTTCTACCGCAGCGGAGGGGCGGCGGGTCATGGCGAACTCCGAGACCTCCTAGAGACCGCCGTGGTTCAGCAAGCGAGAGTTACGCCTCCCGATGGCAGCCTTTGGGGCGTCTCGAACCTACCGCGGCACCACCTCGATAGGACGGGGAAGCCTCGGCTCGTCCCGAACCTGCTCGAGCACCGATAGCTCACTGGGGTCCCCATGCTCCTTGACCGCCTCGACAATCGACCACGAGGCGGGGAGACCACGAGGTGGTCGGCCGGCGGCAACGCCACGACGGTGAGGGGCCCGCGCCGAGGCTACCATGTGCACCGAGGTAGCCGCTTACGATAGCGAGGAAGACCGTAGCCCTTCTCACGAGCCACGGCCCTCGAGTCTTCAGTGAGCTATCCGTGTCGCCTAGTTCCGGCCCGTTTTTGGCAACGACCAACCTCGCGAAATCTGGCG